TAGTGATTTAAAGACATAGGAAAAATAGCAAGGGGAATAATGCAAAGAATAATATAAATTGAAAATGTAACAGAGTCTGAAAAAGAAAGAAAAAGACTCTGTCTCCACCTGGACTCGAACCCGGGACCTTTTCGCATACATGACGAACTTGATAACCACTTGACCACGACGGAACTGTGGTAATTTCAGCGTCCGGTAGAACCCGAGTTCCCTTCACTCCTTTTAACGTGTCTGCCGTAACGATGTTGATAAATAATATGTAAAAGGGTCTTTAAAGAGGGAAATTTAAATTGGGAAATGAATTAAATGATTCTAAACATTTAATTGAATTCAATTGAAAGGCAAAAGAGAGTGTAATTTACGATCCATCTTTTAATATGTTCATGTCAAAATCTATGTTCTGATACCACCATCTGTTATTGGCAACGAACTTTATAAACACATATCATTTATCTAATTGTATAAATATTTAATAATATATAATCTTATTTGGGGATTTCAATAGCCACACATCTAGAGCAACTGATTACATCACTAACGATAACAATTTGTTTGTGCCCTGACTAACCAACAATACAATAGACGAGATTATCTAATTTTGGGCTTATAAGCCGCACATCTAGAGCAACTGATTACATAACTAACGATAACAATTTGATTTTGCCCTGACTAACTAACAATACAATAGACTATAGGTGATCTAAAAGAAGAATTTACGTTTATTTCAAATCAAGGCAAAAGTGTAGTTGATTACGCAATCGCTTTGAAAGATTTTTATATAATCTATTACGTATCTTAGTTCGCTGTGTGAACCATCACGTTGTATGAATGGAGATATACTTACATCAGTATCGTTCAGGCCTGGTCTAGCGGTATGATGCTCGCCAAAATAGATAGAGATTGCCTGTTTGAGTCAAACCAGAGAACATTTTTCTTCATACAAATAGGCCTACATAAGGAACTGCCGTTGATGAACTATGTTTGAAACATCATTGTATTTACGTACGGGAGCGGAGTCGAGTCAAAATAACAAGAATGTTCCATCACTTGAAACTTCAATCCTTTTTTTTTTTCAATTTAATATTTCAGCATTAAAGCTAAAAAAGAAAAACAATACTGAGTAAACATAAATTAATTAGACTTCAACATAATAGCATTTATACGCCTATTATACAATTGTACAACCATCCTATTCTTATATAGTTCAATACATACGGCACATTTATAAGTGTAAATATTACGTAGGTAGCCCTATTATATACCACAACATTATCACTAGCCTATATTTATCACACCAATACAATTATATAGTACAAATATAATCACCAAAACAATGACCGTAAATTAAGTGAGCATTATCATTAGCAAAACACATCGAAATAGCATTTGCAATAACCTGTCCCCGTGTATATATAGCCTCTACACGATGTACCATATATAGGCCTATTAAGAGGCACATGAGATAAACACATGAAAACAACAAATTGCCACATAATGCAAAACAATTTAAAATTAAAAAAATGGAACAGTAGAAAAAATCCCATCAGAATGACAAAATAAACTAATTTAGTCTAATTGTCTTACATTACTCCTTGCAATAGTAGATTGTTTCCTTTCTTTGAGCCCTTGTCATGTGAAAATGCTGAACATAATTGAAATTCATGTTCTTTAAAAATGTTAAGGATTGCCAATTCTGTAAATAGTGATGGCGTGTGCTACTCTGTCTGAATGTGTTATAGTGCGACAATTCGTTCTCGAGTAAGACGGTTTTAAGTAGGTCATATTATATAAGCCCTACTTCCACACAACTCAAGTTTAAATAAAATATGTGGCAACAAAACAATAATAAACAATAACAAAATTGCTCAAGTATTGAATATATTATTATTTAAATCATAACGGTACAGTACTGGGTTTGGTCTATCTACAGGAGCTCGTCCTTCGTACAGGTCATTCCATTCATAGAAAAAACACAACTTTTAAAATGCAGAAAGCGTACCTGTCGTTAGCCATAGTAGCCTAGGTTGAAAAATGTTAATCTTATTGTAGTGGTGACACTCTGTCCACATTTTAGTTATTATTATTATTTGTTAACATTATTATATATGTTTTTATGTTTTATTTAAATGTACAGTATTGTTTAAGTATGAATTCGTGTTAAATTAATCCTCTATTAAAATGTATAGGCCGAATTATTATATAATATAGTGTATACTTGGCCTAAGCTTAGGCCTAAGCCTAGTGTGTAGTGTATAAATTTTATGAATAAAAATATAACGCAAAATGTGAAAATATAAAAAAATAAATACGAATAGGAAAGAGATTCGGAGAGGCTGAAATATTTTCCGATAAAATACAATAATAGTCAATATGCCACTGTTGAATTACGTTTTTGTAAACATTTTGAGGCACTAATCATCAGAGGTCTTGGTTTTACCATGGAGGAAATAAAACAACAAGAGTAACATCGACCTTAATTGGCGTTGTTAATCCAATAAACATTCAGAAAACTCCTATTAAAATGCACTACGACCGCCCGTTGCGCTTATCACTACACAATCTCTTTTGTACCTGTCTGTCTCTCCGCCAAACATCAACCCCTACAGATCAGTATAATGTCAGTTGAGAACACATAACACACAAATAAATGTCTTACACATGCTCAGTTCATTGTCAAACCATGGAGGAGTTTATTTCCTCTATGGTTAAACTTGTCGTAACTCAGTGTCAACATCACGCCAAATGAAAAGTAGGTTATTTGATAAATTGCAATTGCTTATTTAGACGTACGTATCCAGGGTGTAGGAGCGGCCATCGTGCAGAGTTAAACTGCTGTTATGTTTCTTCTTTTTTTTTTCCACAAGTCGGAAAACTTTGCTAACCCCCTGACGATGCAAATGAACAATTTCTTTACTGAAAACAGAACAATGTATTATGTCCTTTATTGTAACACTGTATTTAACTTTCTTTGATCATTATTATATAATTTAACAGTGTTAACGGATATCTTGATTTTTATGCAATTATTTCTTTCTATCCGTAACTATTGTGTAATGGAGTGTATCTGGTGTTTTGAATCTGTTCAAACATGAAACCTCCGTTATGACACTTGCATTGACAGCGAGAAGTCGCAGGTTTGAGCCCCGCCAGAGACATTTTATTACACAATGTCTTTATTCATTTATTTACAGGAGATTCTTTATTTCTTAATTTCTTTATTCATTTATTTACATTCTTTGAGAGCTGCTACACGATGTATTATTATGGCCTTTATTTTATAGGCCTAATTTAACAGTGTTAACAGCTATTTTGATTTATATTACATATATATGTACATACATACATATATATATATATATATATATATATATATATATTCAACACTAGTCACCAATGACAAGCTCGGTAGTGCAATTGTCCCACATTATTCTTATTTCCTATATTCCTTTGTTTGTTTGTCATGTGATAATGACAATCTGCAGACAATCTGCTGTTAAAGCTGTCATAAACAAATAAAACTAATTTAAATACATGCTGTTAAAGATTGCCAATTCTGTAATTATAGTGATGGACGTGTGTTTTCTAGTGCGTACTTTACTATTCGTGTCTGAGTAAGATGTGTTGGTTTTAAATA